TACCACTCATGTTGAGTGATATGAGTCATTAAGCTTTTATAAATGAAAAATGACTGAACCATCCACGTGCAGATATTATCTGTTTCTAAATCCCTTTTCTTTCCTAGTTCACCTTCCAATGAAAATGTTTGAAAGTTTCTCTGGAAAATAGGCATAAAATTAGCATATATGGTCTGATTTAGAATTCTGAGATTCTGAACTGTTGAAAAAAATAGAAAAAAATTTATAACTTTCCCATGATCATCATGATATAACAAATATATAGTTATTTTAAAATTAGAATAAAATGCAATGAAGTGGATTTTTTGTGGATTTTTAATCCTAGTGTCACATAGTAAATGCTCATAGACACGTGTCCTAACTTGGTCACATCTGGGCAGCATGAGGGAAGGATAGTGGACAGGAAAGAATGGGAGAGAGAAGGCAGAGGTCAGAAATTAATGAAAGGACCTCCCAAAATAGAAGACTAATTGAAATTGAATAAAATGTGACTTTTGAAAGAAACGAGAATTGTGAAATGTGTCCTGGGCCACAAAGGTACTGAATTGCATGTTTGTGCTCAGGACCCTAGCTTTGTATTTTTTTTCTTTTTCTGTATGATGGTGGTGGTGATTAACTTTGTATCCTTGCAGCATGACTATAAGTGATTTATTTTCTTCTGTCTACCTTTCTTCTACATTCTAAATTTCCTATGATAAAAATATAAAACTTTATTGAATCATAAAAAGTATAACTAAATTGTTTTATATAAACATGGCTTTCCATCACCAACAGGATAAACTGAACAATTTAGCTGCAGACTGTTAATCTAAAAATAAAAAGCCAAAGTGAGAGGCACCAAACATTTATTTGAGATAAAAAAGAATTGTAATCCGAAGGCATTGATTCTGACAGAAACCCAAATTATATCCCAATTGTGGAGTAAAAGCAAGGGGATTTTTAATGAGAAAAGAAAATAAATAGAAGAAATAAATTTCTTTTGGTGCTAACAAGCTAGATTACTCTTTAGCTCTACGTGGCTGGTTACTGATTCTAAAGTGTCTGAAATCACCAGTCCTGTGGTCAGGATGTCTGCTCTCCTATTAGCTTTACAATTGTAAGACAGTGTTGGTTTGGCCCAGTTCAAAGGTTATTTTTCTCAGTTCAAACATTCCAACATTTCAAGGAGTAAGATGTACAAGGCGTGTCCTCTCGAATGCTCTAGCTCTATTTTCATATGGCGCCACTTTAGTCAACTTTACACAAAATGAATGGCTTTCCACAGATGGGCTCTACTACCTATCACACACTTTTTACTTCAATACAAAAAATTAAAGTTTTGCCATTTTCTGTGTAGACCCTACACTTTCATAACCACATAATTGTTATTCTGTTTGGACATTGATTTTCCTTCATGTTCAAATCATTTTGGACTCCACTCATTTGTGGATTTATCTATAAGATTTACTAAAGTAAACACCTTTTCTCCTGCATAATTTTATACAACTTCTTTCATTATTCCTTATAGAATTCTTTATGCAGGGGTCATCTCCTCTACTAGATTATATTCTTTCCGCCTTCATTTCTTCATTCTTTCATTTCATCATTCTGTCCTTCTTTTCTATTTTTAAATAGCTAATTTGATCACTTTTTCTCTACATTTCTCTTTTAGATATTATCTCCAAATCTACACTCTTAGTTTGGATATTATGAAGCATTTAAGACTCAGACAAGGGACATTGTGTATGTTACTTATGATTTGTGATTTTTATTTTAATAAAATAAGTTAGGCAATTTAAAAAAGAAAAAGACTCAGACACTTGATAAAGGAATGTCTAGCTGAAGGAATGACTATATCAGCTGGAGAGAGCAAGCATCGTGTACTGTCTTATCGGATTAGTCATGGAGAAGCATGATAAATAGGAAGACAAATGTGAAAAGTTATCAGATAGAATATTACTTGAACTGACTGCCAGCTCTTGCATCCAAGCTTGGATGACATTAAATTTAAGTTTACTTTCAGGTCTCTGATTCCTGGAAGTCAGATTTACAAAACTAGTTATTATCTAACTCTTATATATATTTAACCTTATGATTTTTCCATAGAAGTCATTTTTATTTCTGTGCTGAAAAAAAAAAAAATCCCATCCTTTTTTTCTAGTGCTCATAGCTCCCCTCTACATTTTATTTATTTATTCTTTCTTCTTTCTTTCTTTTCCACTTTCCTCTCTCCCTCTTCACTCCCTCTTTTGTTTCCTTTTTTCCTTCTGTTCCTCTCCTTTCCTTCTTCTACTCAGTTGCTCTTTAATTTATCTATTGTTTCTCATTAATGCATTGCCTTTTAAAATTTAACTTACAAAATGAAAACTGACTATCTCATGCACTGCCTGAAACTCCCTGAGTCTATAATCTTAGTTTGGCTATTCAACAGACATGGGAATGAGGATTTTAAGTATGTAAGCCTTTAATTCTCCTATTAGAGAGTTAAGATGGTAGCTATAATCTTTTTTCTATGAAAATAAAACTTCTTTAAAAAATCCAGTTATTAGAGTATTTGGTAAATATCACATATAAAGTCTGGAAATTTAGAAACATATGCATGATTTGTGAATTTTTGACTTTTTATTCACCTGTTTGGCTTTTGCTATAAGGCTTTCATTCATAATTAATATATTAATTAATTATGTAAGCAATTTGGGGGTACCTGCTATATATAAGTCTCCATGCTAAGTATTAGGAATACAGAAATAAATGAGAGGTAGTCCCTGCCCTCAAGTACATACAGTCATATAGGGGAGGCAGATAAGTAAACCAATGCACTATAGTTCAGTGTGAAAAATCAGCAACAGAGGCAGGTACAAGATACCATTAGGAAATAATTAGCTCTTCTTAGGGAAGGACTCTTAGAGAATTGTCTGAAGGTGTTATACAAAATAGCAAAGTTCTGCATTTGGTAGACTTTTATATTTATTTCAGGAACAACATGGTCCATTTTGCTAAGCACATTTGAACAGTTGAAAAAATAAACATAATATCTGTCAGGCTTCCCTGTGAACTTTAAATGTGTTTTATAAATTATGTGAAGATTTACAAAGGAGAAATCTTAATCTAGAAGGAATCGACTTTTGGTCTGCCACAGCTCTTTGGCTTTTAATCTCTTCCTGTCTTTTTTGTCTGACTCTGTTATTCTTTCCTGGATTTCATTTCTGGACAGGTCCTGCCACCACACCAACGCGCTTAGTTAGCCTGATATCAGTGGGGACAAATATTTCCCTTTATTTCAATCAAGACAAGATACAGATTTTTCACCCCAAAGAAATGTAGAACACCGATTTGAAATGTCTTTAGACAGAATTTACTGTGAAAATAGATGTTTAAATTAGAAGTATAGCCCCAGCCAAGTGGTCATTATGCATTTGGATACCTTCAATTATAGGGATCTTACTATTACTAAGGGATCCTAATCCATCTCTCATACATATTAGAGGAGATCTCATCAATGTTTATTAAAAAAAAAAAAAAAACATGCAAAAATAAAGCAAAAAGGAAATTTATAAGGGACACAAGTGGGAGAGAGAAACGTTTACATTATTAAATGTTCATTAAGTGTACATTTTTATTATCATTTTATTTAATGCTCACTCCCAGGATGCTCTGCTCTTTAGTACACAAATAATCAAGCAAGTAAACAAAGAAAAAATAAAGTGTGATGAAGAACAAAAATGTGCATTCACTGAATATTTAATAAGTGTAAGTTTTGCTCCTCTGATTTACTGTCCTTTTGCATTTCCTTTTTTTTTCCCTGTTCTTTTCTTTAATTGTGTAAGGTAAGGAAGGTGAGGTTGGTGGAGGGGTGGGTGGGTGGCAGGTGGTGAGAAGCTTGTTAAAGGTTTAACAAACTTTAACAAAGTTTCTTCCTCTTAGAATGTTTAGGGTTTTTCCTACAGGTATTTATATTTATTATATACAATTGATGAGAGCAATACTCTACTTGACAAAGAAAAGGAAGGGAACAGAAGGAAAGGAAAAAAAAAAAAAGAAGAGGAGAGGAGAGAAAAAGGATGAACAGCATGTAAAAAGCATCTAGGATGGTGTTTTTTTTTTAACTTCAAAGTATCTACTAATTTGAATTTACAGAGAAGGAAAAGAAATTGAAAGAAAAAAATAAAGTATAGAAGATAAAGAAAGAAGAGTATTTAAGTCCAGTGAGCCATCAAATTCATTTTAATTCTCCTAGCATTCAACAAGCAGCTATTACAGGTCTGTTGCCCATTAATAGACCGGGTACAGAATTAAGACCAACCAAAGAGAATGGATACACTACTTCTTCATAATCTTTCTCCATACTATGAGTTTTTCCTCCTCAAACACTAACAAATCCAGCAAGAAAGCAGCAGTAGGTATTTCAAATCAAAGACATAAAAAATAATTCTCCTTTCCAATTTAATTGGTGTTATTTAATTAGAACCAATTTAATTAGATGTTATTTCTCTTTTTTATGAAATCGAATAGCATATACTATAGCTATACATGTACATCTTTTAATTTACTTACATCTTATAACATTAGATTTTAAATATGTTCTTTTTAAAACTTCATTGAAAAGTTCTGTGCAATTCTGACTTTTTCCTAAGTCAGCCTACTTCTCTCAAACACACAAACGTGAATTGTCTAGTAAACTCCAGTCACTTTTTTTTTTTCCCAGAGTGGAAAAAAAAAAAAGCCCCAGTTTTCTCCTTAGTAAGACAGGAAGCATTTCCTGAAGCTTAATCACTATTTTGACTTGCAAAATTGGAAAGGTTCAGAGAAATTAGTAAAGTAGCTTGTAGCATCCAATTTTAGATTTGGGATTTTTGGAATTGGTTCTGCTAGTCGGATGACAGCAGTCGTGAGTCAAGCTGCTGGTGATCTAAACAAACATTGTCGCCCTATAAAAGTTGGGCTCCAGAGGGTGGACTTGGAAGAAGGTAGGCAAAGAGCAAGGCATTAAGACAACTCGGATCTGAGTGAAGCCAGGAGAAATGAAGAACCTTCCTGCTCTGCTGCTGTGTGTGGCAGTTTGCTCAGCCTTCCCGCTGGACCGAGCTGCGGAGGAGGACCACATGGACCTGGCTCAGGTAGTCAAGGGAGCAGCCCTCACGTTAATTCACAGGGCCAGGCGGGAAACCACCTCTGCTTTCCTTTCATAACACTCATGCAGAATGGTTTGAATTATAGTGCAGGAATGGTTCCAGGACAGAGTTATATAAAGTGTTGGTTGGCAAAGGGGTCTCAGTTTCACTCTATTTGGGCTACTCCCTACATGTAGGATGAAACAAAGGCCAGGTGGATTAGATGTTTCCTAAGGTCCCAGATAGCACAGTGGGAAGAGTGTATAAATGTATCTTGCTTTGGAATTTCTTTAGGTACTTATTATTTTTAGTAAGAGAAAATAATTAAATTTGATACATACATATGTATGGGAACCCTGCATACGTGACAGGTTTACAGACCCTACATGTGGAAGAGGCTCAGAGACAGAATGGGCATCCTGAGTGGGGATGGGGGAATGCACCTTGGGAGCGTCAAAGGATCATTTCAAGATGAGAAGAGGAGATGATTAGTAAATAAAACTATGCCCTGCCATGTAGCAAGGGTCAAAAAGCTTACTGCTGACAATCCCCTACAGGCAAGCCCTCTAATTCAAATTCTTCCAGGGTGTTGTGGGCAGGAGGGGCAGAAGTTTCTCTTGAGTTTGTGACTAAAGTTGCCTTTAGCTCAAAACAATCTGCACACCGGCAGTCTTGGGGTGATTTGTTCTGGACCTCCACAGGGAAATTCTTTGGGCATTTTAATCCAATGTAAGATTAGCTAGATTTTTATGTTGCCGATGTCATGTTTAGACGCAGTGATTTGTCCCACTTCCTTTTCTTAAGCCAAGTCCTTATGAAACACATAAAATAGAAAATATATATATATCTGAAATATACAATTATGGCCAAAGAAATAAGTTTGTTTGTTTTTTCTCCATTAAATTCACTATATATAAATTTAAATTTTCTACTTCATTTCAATTGCTTTTGTAGTAAACTAAGCTGTAGATATTATTTAGTTACAAAGATAAAACAAAAGTGAAGAATCTGTAATTAAAAAATTAAACAGAATATGACACATTTTGATTTCAGCAAACTGAAGGAATGCTTACATAGATTGTATGCAACTGCACGAATATATTGTAAAAACTAAAATATCATAAGTATGACCTGAAATATTTCAATAGCATTACCTAGAGAACTACTACAATCTTGCAAAAGATGTAAAGCAGTTTGTTAGAAGGAAGGACAGTAGCCCTGTTGTTAAAAAAATCCAAGAAATGCAGAGGTTCCTGGGGCTGACGGTGACTGGGAAGCTGGACTCAGACACGCTGGAGATGATGCACAAGCCCAGATGCGGAGTTCCTGACGTTGGAGCCTTCTCTACCTTTCCTGGCATGCCAAAGTGGAGGCAAACTCGCCTTACTTACAGGTAGTGGGTCCCAAGAGGTTTTCACATAATACTGAGACTTCACACACTAAGAACCCAGGAGAAAATATTATCTTCAATTGTTTTCATTCAGGATTGTGGATTACACACTGGACTTGCCAAGAGATGCTGTTGATTCTGCCATTGAGAAAGCTCTGCAAGTCTGGGAAGAGGTGACTCCATTTACATTCTCCAGGATTTATGAAGGAGAGGCTGACATAAAGATCACTTTTGCAGTTAGAGGTAAGAAACAAAATCAAGGAACATTAAGAACAAAAACATGAAATGCATCTATTTACTTGATGGTGTTTTATTGAAAAAGTTTCCAAAGAGATTGTAATTACCTAGCTTTTCAGTAATTTTATTTTTTCTCTATAAGCTCATGGAGACCTTTACCCTTTTGATGGACCTGGAAAGGTTTTGGCTCACGCCTATCCACCCGGGCCGGGGATTCATGGAGATGCTCACTTTGATGACGATGAACAATGGACAAAGGATACATCAGGTTAGTTATGTCTCTCTTAGAATGATTTTGGTGTTTTTCTATATTTGGAAAAATTTTAATAACTAAGAACATCCAAGAAATGTGTTGTGTTGGATTTCCCAATGGGTCAAGGACCAGCAAAATATATTTTTGTTTTATCATTATTAAAAACATTTCCAGATGTCTAAAATGTTTATTTTCTATCTAGGTGAGAACAATGTAGGAAGCATCATTAAGCGTTTCTTTCTTGACTCTCATTCTTGTGTGATCTTAGACCATCATTAAGAACAATTTCTCATATAATCAAATTGTAGATATCAAGTTTGTAGTATAGTGTTTTGAATCTACACCAACATGTGCTCTGGATATTGCTTATATCCAACTGGGGAAAATGTCCCCCAATTACTTCTTTACTTTTCCAAATAGAAATGAGAATTAAATTCCAGAAACTGAGGTTTCAGATTAGGTTTTCTGGTTAGAATAACGTTTTACTCTCTCTAGGTTAAGAAGGGTTATTATGGACTTGTTTTGAAAGAAAGGACTAACCCCCAAAATAAAATGTCCAAACTTCTTTTTAAAATATGTTTTTCTTTTTTGAGTTTAGAGAGAGAGGAAGGGAGAGGGAGAGAAAGAGATAGAAACATCAGTGAGAGAGAACATCAATTGGCTGCCTCCTTCATGCCCCCCACTGGGGATTGGGCCCACAGCCTGGGCATGTGTCCTGACCAGGAATCAACTGGCAACTTCTCGGTGCATGGGTCAATGCTGAGCCACGGAGCCACACCGGTTGGGCAAAATGCCCAAACTTTTAAGGTAGAAGAATGTTTCTCAATTTATAACTAGATACTTTGAGGTATGGCTTCCAAAGTTTCAAACAATTGGCTAAAACAAATACTACTGCTTCTGAAATTTAGTTGGGATTTATAGTAAAAATGCACACAGAATCCCTGTAGAGAGTACAAAAGTGAGGTTAGTTGGTTGAATTTACAACTTCTTCCTTCAAAGGAACATTCTTGCAAAGTCTCAAATGAGAACTTTAAAAGTAAAGTTGACTTACCTGGCATTTCAATCCCAATTATCTCTTGCGTTCCAATTTCAGCATTCTAATTTATTTTTATACTATGAAGAAAAAATCTGAACACAGCTAGTGTTTGTGTAGCCAAAATCTCTTTTGTGACAAATGCTAAACACTATTGGGTACATTATATCTTAAACCAATTTTACAAGTTCTAAGACATCTATCATTATTAATATTTTTGGACCAAGTATGTATTAAATAATCATCATGAGGCTGAAAAATTATGCAGGTAATCATCCAATGGTAAATAGCAGCATTAATTAAGGATTTCAGAATTGAGATAAATAAACTGTGAATCATTTAATTTATACTGTAACCAACAAAAGTTAAAAGTGTTTAACTTTTCATTGACAAATGACAAGAAATATTTATTGATGTGCTAAACCAGTAGGTTCATTCCATTCCAGAGTACGAGAAAAGGGACTTGGTTCTCACGAAGTTTATAGGCTCTTGAGGAGTAGTTGGGTATGGCTGAACCCTTTGTCTCAAAGATTGATGTCAATAATGGTCCTTGAAAACAGTTGGCTTTACATTAAGTGCATAATCAGTCAAATGATCAGTTAAACAAAACTCAAGGCAAACAAAGCCCTGTGTGCTTCCTGAAAGTAAATAAATATAATACACAACTGATCTGTGTGGTATACATTTATTTAAGAAATAACTCTTATTTGTGATTTCTTATAGGGACCAATCTATTCCTCGTTGCTGCTCATGAACTTGGCCATTCCCTGGGTCTCTATCACTCGGACAACCCTGAAGCTTTGATGTTCCCAACGTACAACTCATCCACAAACCTGGCCAAGTTCCGCCTTTCTCAAGATGATGTGAATGGCATTCAATCCCTGTATGGTAAGTGATGCTGGGAAATGAGGCACCGTAGCTTTGCAATGATGACCTTCAGGAAAGGTTTAAAATGCTGCATAAAGCATTTGAAGTCTGATCAAAGCACTCTGAGAATGTTTGGAAAGTATATACACTGACAGAAGCATCACATTTCTCCTAATGTTTGCATCCTCACATCTGTTCTTTTTAGGACCTCCCCCTAATTCTCCTGATGATCCTGTGGTGCCCACATCATCCACCCCTCCTGAGCCACCAGCCATGTGTGATCCCACTTTGTCCTTCGACGCAGTCAGCACTCTGAGGGGAGAAATCCTGTTCTTTAAAGACAGGTCAGACCAGATAGTTATACTTTCTTATCAATTCTTTTGATGTACAATGTTTAGAAATGAAAACAAAGAGAAACTTAATAGACACTTTCAAACATTATAAACAAAAATGATTACTCTGAACTGAAGTTAATTAGATCTGGTGTTCCAATTCTCACATTTTTCTAAAATCGTCAAGTTTGTTTCTGAAGACTTACAGAGCATGATTTAATTCTTGTCCTCTAATTGTTCCCATATATTATAAGTCATGGTCGGTTTCCAAAAGGCACAAGTAGAACTTTAAAATCAGAATGTTGTCTTTACTGCCTTAAAAAGGACACTGGAATAGCATTACATTTAATCAATTAATTTGCTCACTGCTGAATAAATATGCACGTGGTAAACATGTACACTGCACAAATGGGAGGAAAGTTAAAAGCAAGTCTCCCTCCATTGTTGACCCCCAGTTCCCTCATTTGCTCCATATTCATCCATAGGCAAAGACCCTTGTTTTTCCTTCCAGAATTGTTCCATGATATACAAAAACATACTTACATAGTTCATATACTTACACATCTGCCTGTCTTTGTGAAAATGTAAAGGATGATATAACATACACACTGTTTTACATGAATTATAAGTATTTAAAGTTTACACTCAGCTAACTAACTTGCATTGTAGGATAATTTTCATTTCACAGAAGATGTTACTCTGTAATCCTATGGCAAGAGGCCCAGTGCAGTTTCCTGAAGTAAAGAAAAAATATATATATTTTTCCCCAGTGGCAATATATCTGATTTCCGTCCGTCATCATGCCTAGAGGATAAAGGAATGGAGGAAGATGGGAGAGGCAGAAAAATGAGGAAAATATGCAAAAGATAAAAGACTGTTTTTCGATTTTCATATATTTCAGACATTTTTGGCGAAAATCCCTAAGGACTCTTGAACCTGGATTTTATTTGATCTCTTCGTTTTGGCCATCCCTTCCTTCAGGAGTAGATGCTGCATATGAAGTTACTAGCAAGGACACTGTCTTCATTTTTAAACGTAATTATTATACAATAATTTATTTAACTTATTGAAATAAACTCTTTCCCAGGAAAATAAAATAGGACTTTAATTTTCTGTTTTGAGAACACCTGTAACTTTGTTACTCTAAGGTAATGAAATTACCAAAACTGGTATTGTTTTATTTATATATTTTATAGATGATACAAATTAACACAGTAATATAAATTACTCAGAGTTGTATATTCCTTCACTTGATCTATGCTTATTCATTCATGGGAAAATTTTTGTTAAATGTCAACTTTGAGCTGGTGACTAAATATAAAGTTCTGTCTTCCTCTCTACTATAAAATTAAAGGTGCTAAAAAGTATCTCTAAAGCCCAGAGGTTTAACTGTTATAAACTCAATGTGACTCTGAATTTTTTTTTTTTTTTTTAACAGAAAATCAGTTCTGGGCCATCAGAGAAACAAAAGTACAAGCAGGTTACCCTAGAGACATCCAAACACTGGGTTTTCCATCAACAGTAAGGAAAATAGATGCAGCCATTTTTGATAAGGAAAAGAAGAAAACATACTTCTTTGTAGAGGACAAATACTGGAGGTAATATGTGATCAGAATGACTTTGTATCAATCCTAACTAGGGAAATTATTTTTTTTCTGTAAGGAAATTGCCTGCCTCACTGAGCTTTGCTCCCCTCTCAGTAGGAAGAATGGGGCTTTAGGCGTCTGTGGGGACTGCTTACCCGAAAACACAGCAGCGTCTGCTAACAGGCATTTCGTGAGCTCCTCCGCTTTGAGTCCCACGTGCAATAGGAGGAAGCTTTTCCTTTGTGCTGCTGCCCTACCTGCCAGAGTGCCCTCTTCTCTCCCCCATCCACCCAATCCTCGAGTCTTGGCTCTAATCCCCCTCACTTCCATGAAGCTTTTCCTGCTGGATTCCAAACCCAACTGGGTTTTCTTTTTTGAAAGAAGCTCTGAGAATCCAGGCCAAAATTTAGCATTTCTTTCCCATTGTCCTAAAGGTCTACTCATTGTCTCTTGGGGGTTTGTCTTGCCCTCCCAACCTTACTATATGATTAAGGGCTTCCTTCAACCTCAGCCATCCATTACCTCTACCTGTTTCAGAGGACAATGAACAGAGGCAGTCTAGGTTCATGAATAGAACTCAAAACTCAGGGAGGCTGATTCCTGGTCATCTGCCCAGACTCTGAGACATATGAGCAGACCAACCAAGGTTCACCCAATAAGTCCAAAATGCATTGACTGTGTTTTGCATTGACTGTGTCTTGTTCTAATCCCTTTTACTAGGAGACTGCCATAGAAAATCCACTTGTGCAGGGTAGAGAAGGCATATATGAGCCAAGGATGATGGACAACTTGAAATTTTTATTTAGATGAATGATTCAACTCATTTTATCTATCTGGTCACACATTCATGTCTTTAAGATTTTTTTTTTTTTTTGCTCAGGCTTAAGAAATATAATAACAAATAACACCTTCTAATCTAGACCAAAGTGTTGCCTTTGTTCCAGGTGAAAATAATTTTTAAAAAGAGCTAAGTTTGCAGTATCACTAAAGTCACCTATACAAGTTTGACATTTATTTGCAGTAATTGGACAGTTTACTAGAATTCCACATTAAACCTAACGTGATTTAAGAATTTTGGTAATGTTGGCCTCTAAGCGATGCTGAGCTGCATTCTTTTATTTGGTGCAGTTTTCATGAGAAAAACCAGTCTATGGATCCCGGCTTTCCCAGGCAAATAATGGAAGACTTTCCAGGGGTTGGCCCAAAGGTTGATGCTGTTTTTGAAACATTTGGTAAGAGTATACTTATTCTGTTAGCAATGGGGTATTTAAAACATTTTATGGCATCAGAGGGAAAATAATTGAAATAACTTTTAATAACAACTTTTCTTTAACCAGTTCTCTCTTCCCTTCCCAAATTTAAATTTACCAATTTTTAACCAATCATACAACTACTTTGTATAATAAGTTGTTTTGAATCATAAAAATATGTAACACAAATTTCTCTACTTAACTTTATACATCCAGATAAAAGCGAAGTTGTCAAGTGCCACTTCCTTACATCTAGAGCTATTACCTTTCAAATGACCATGTCAGTATAAAAGTGCCCACATGTGCTGTGGCCAAACTGACAGCTGGCTGGCTTTCTCCTCCACTCCAGGCTATTGCTACTACTAATTCCCAGGAGATTTTTTCTACCTTTCTTGAGTAGTTGACCACATTAGTCAGTTGCAAATACTTGCATTTCCATGCACCCAAAGTTTTAAAAAGGTTGTTGTTGTTGTTTTTTCCTGCTCAAGGATAGGTGGGTGGAGGTGATGCTCTTTATTGCAGAGTAACCAGAGCACCATGAAGGCAGAGCAACAGCAGGTCCTCAGAAGCCAGAAATGCCCATCAGGCTGCAGTGTGAGGGAAAGTGTGAGGGAGAAGTATTAGGAAGAAAGAAAATAAAGAGATTATAATTTCCTAAGAAGCAGAGAACTATATCCGATTGGAAGCAGAATAACCTAATTACCCAGAGGCTGGCTTTTCTGTCTAACAGAGCTGGAATGGACCGCTGTCTCCTTTCTGTTTTTGTTGAGTGACTTCTAGCAAGCATTTAACTCTGTCTGAGCCTCAGCTTGCATTTGTAAAGTGGAGTTAGCGATACTTAACTCAAAGGACTGCTGCAAAAATAAATGAAAAAGAAAGAAAGAAAAAAAAGCATGTAAGATGCTTAACACATAGTCCCTGGCACATAGTAAATTCTATAAACACTTTCCATTTCTAGTCATCTATATTCTGAGTTCTATATGTTGCCAAATTTGAAAAAATATCTTACTATTTCCCTTGTCTGTATTTGCAGGGTTTTTCTATTTCTTCAGTGGATCTTCACAATTGGAGTTTGACCCAAATGCAAAGAAAGTGACACATATTTTGAAGAGTAACAGCTGGTTTAATTGTTAGGAGACACGCATGGAAGGCACAACACAGGCATTTTAAATGAAGCCGATTATTCTTCAGAGTCTTTGTGAATTGAAATGGTGCATTTTCTCCTGCACATGCAGTGACTTAGGATGTGAGTGTGAACTGTGTCTCACCTGTCAGCTTCGCAAGTATTACAGGCATTCACGCCAGCTGCAGAGCTTGCATTTCTCTGCACTTTGGTCCCCAGAAGAAGAGGGGTACTCATGTGCAACACACCAGGGATTGTATATAAATTTGCTTGTTATTTAATAAAAAGGATCTGTCAATTATTTTATTATTTTATTTTATTTTATTTTGTTTGGTTTATTTGTTTGTTTAAAAAACAAAGTTGTTCTTACTGTCTGGGGCACACTGTGGCCTGATCAGTAGAGCGCCCGGGATGCTCAGCCACTGGAGGTGGTAGGGATGGGGTCTCCATGGCTTCAGCCTCACAATGGGCTCAATCAGAACAGAGGACAATTTACCACTTGCCCTTCTCAGGTGCCCTACAAACAGGATGTTTATTTCCACCACCCAGGCATCACGTGTTCCTGACGCACCCTAGGAGAAAGATTTAAGGCAGTTGTGACCTTGTAGGACAGGGTCTGGGAAAAAATATGAAGCACAACTTTATAATTATTACAAATCACCTACTTCACACACCTCATTTTTCAGGTGGGGAATTCGTCATCTTTTCCATTTACCTATATATGCCCTCAGTGGAGCCCCTTCCTGCCGTAGCAAACTAATTTGCTCATATCCACCCTATTCACACATGAAACTCTTCTCTCACATTCATTTTGTATCTGTTCCTTCTAGAAGTCTATGGGCAAATGCTTATCCTAGGACAGATTTACACCCCTAAGGACCATGTCTAGAACATCACCTGTTTACACAGTAAAAGCTCGTCTACTCTTTAATGTATTTATTAATTTGAGTAGAGTAATTAACCAATCATATTCTCTGTGCCAGGCATTGTGTTAGGTAGTAGGCATAGGAGCCTGAGAAAATGAACACAGCCTGCCCTCACTGAGATTATAATCAGCAAAAAAGAATATATGCAAGTAACAGCAAACACGTATGTGCAATTGTATATTTAAAAAGACATAAAAAAATTTACTTCTATGTTAGAATAATAGAAGGATTTACTTTGAGCTAAGTGGTTTTACTAACAGTTCTGAGGGAATGGCATGAGAGAGGGAATGGCATTAGGAGGTGTGGAAACTAGGGGAAGAGATTCATTGATGGCTTGGACTGTAGTGGTCACACTGGAGAGTCAGAGACAAGAAAGAAAAATAGATATATGGGATAGACCATAGGACTCCACAGTTGACTAGATATGGAGTTAAGAGAGAATAATTCCCAGATGATTTCCTGGAGCATAAGGCTTGTGGGTGACAACATTTACTGAGATGGGGAAAGACTTGGAGAGAAACAGTTTTGTGAGAAAGGGTAAGAAGAAAAATTGCTTAGTTTTGCCAATTTTTGAAATGCCTGTGAGATATTCAAGGAGGCCATAAGGTAAATGAGTCTGAAACTCAAAAGAGAAGTTATGGTAATTATGTGTGGTAATAGATGTTAACGAAACATACTATGGTGATCATTTTACAGTACATGCATATATTAAATCATTGTGTACACCTAAAAACAATACATGGTGTATGTCAATTACATCTCAAGTTTAAAGAAAGAGAGAAGATATAGATTCATGGGATTTTTAAGCATTTAAATTTTCCTAAAATCATGAGTATGAAAAAGACTATGGAAGATTTTAAGATGGAATTTTAATAAACAATAATAATCTGCCAAAAATTGGGTGTTTATTTATTTTAAAAGTAACCTAAATTAATTTTTTTAATATAGGTACTATGTAGCCACAACACAAATTCAAGAGTTAAAAAACAGTGTGCAGTGAGAAGTTAATTTTCCTCACACCACTGTCATAACCTTCCACCATCTAGTTCCTTTTGTCAGAGGCAACCAAGTGGATCCTTATGAATCCTTTCAAAGTTATTTTGTACATACACAAACACTAATGTCATCTTTTGAAATTAAAATGTTAGCATGCAAGTTCATGCTGTTCTCCTTGTTGCTGTTTTCACTTAATATATCTTGGCAACCACTCCATATTATTACGTGCAGAATTGTTTCTTCCATTTGCTGAATTCCATGAAATAAACATGTAATTTATTTTATTCACTCTCCTATTGATGACTAAATTAGTAATTAAATAAATGCACATATCAAATAAAATTTAAATATACAAATAACAAAAATAAATATAAATAGTATATAAATAAAATAATTTAATAATGTATAAAATATACATTTGAAAATGACAAGATATTTGAAATTAAAGTAATAAAAAACAAATAAAATAAAAGTTGTGTGCATCGGATTATTTTCAGTATTCACTATATCAATAGGTTATTTTCAACATTTCACTATTATTCCCAGGGCTACAGTGAATATTCTTGAGCACACTTGCATATCTGATGGAAACTTTAACCTTCAAAGGCTAAGTGAGATGGAGAAGTAGGAAAACTATCTGCTGAATTCTCCACCATGCTGCCTATTGGATGCTCTTTACCACAGCAGTATTGGTGGAGTGACAGAGTTAAATTCTGATCAAAGTGGGTAGAAATATTGGTAAGTTAAAATGCTTTGGTTATAGGTAGCAAAAAGAAAAAAAGCTACCTGTAAAATAAAAATGTTTATCAAAATAAAATTAAATTTAAAAATGTATTAAAAAGACAAGTGTTGGCAAGAATATGGAGAAAAGGGAACCCTTAGTGAGTGCAGTGGTTCTCAACCTGTGGGTCACAACCCTGTTGGGGGTTGAATGACCCTTTCACAGGAGTCACCTAAGACCATCAGAAAACAGATATTTCCAATGGCGATTCATAACAGTAGCAAAATTACAGTTATGAAGTAGCAACAAAAATAATTTTATGGTTGGGGGTCACCACAACATGAGCAACTATATTAAAGGGTCGTGGCATTAGGAAGGTTGAGAACCACGGCCTTACCGAGAATGTAAATTAGTGCAGTCATAATTGAAAATTCTACAGATTTTCGTCAAAAATTTAACAATAGAGCTACCATATGATCCAGCAATACCACTTTTAGGTATATATCTGAAGGACTGAATTCAGTATTTCAAAGATATATCAGTACTCCCATGTTTGTTGCAGCATTACTCACAATAGACATAATCTAAGTGACCACCTATGAATGAATGAAGAAATATTGTATAAAAAAAAAAGAAATGTGGTATATGTATATATACAAAGAAATATTGTTAAGCCTTAAAAAAATCACAAATCCTACCATTTGTGGCAATGTGGATGAAACTTGAGGACATTATGCCAAGTAAAATAAGCCTGAAAAGAAAGGCAAGTACTGCATAACCTCACTTATATGTGTGAAAAAATGTCAAACTTACAAAAGTAGAGAATTTAATGGTGGTTGTTAGGTGTTAGAGGGTGGGAGAAATAGGGAGATTTTGATCAAGGGGAACAAAGTTTTGGTTATGTAGGATGATGTAATATACAGCATGGTAACCATAGTTAATTATTCTGTATTGTATACTTAAAATATGCTGAGGGTGTTCTCAACACACACACACACACACACACACACACACACACACACACAAGATAACTATGTAAGGTGATGGGTGTGTTAATTAGTTTGATTATGGTAATCATTTCACAATGTATAGTTATTTTAAAACATCATATTTTATACCTTTAAATATATACAATTTTTATTTGTCAATTATACCTCAGTAAATCTGGGGAAAAGGTGGGGTTTTTTTTTTGCTGTTTTTTTTAATTTATTTTTTATTTAATTAATTAATTTATTTTTGTTACAGATGTTTCCCCTTTTCTCTCCTCCCTCTCCTCGCCCTGTCCCCAGCTTTGTTGTCCATGTCCATTGTTCATGCACACATGCATATAAATTCTGTGGTTTATCTCTTCCCCCAACCCTCCCTTTTAGGGATTGTCAGTCTGTACCTGACTTCCACATCTCTCTGGAACTACCCATTTTCAGAGATGGAGTCAGAGACCGAAATAGGGGAAATGGGTCCCTGAGAATTCAGATCCCGTTACGTCTAGGAAGATAAGGGCAGAGGGAATAATAGTTATCATAGCAAGTATACGCAGCACTTACTGTTTTAAATACTGTCCCAGTACTTACAATGGCCCAGTGAAGTAGTCACCATTATTATCCCCTCTTTACAGATGAGGAAACTGAGGCACCCAGAAGTTAAGTAACTTCCCAGGGTTTATAACTAGTGAGTGGCAGAGCCCTGATTGTGAAGCCAGAATCCACCTCTGGAGTCCAGCCTCTTGTACACCCCAGAGCCTCTCACAGAGGTAGGAGCTCAGACAAACTACAGAGATGTTGCCGAAATCAGAGAAGCAGAATTCACTGAGCCCTTGTCTTGGTCACACCACAGAGACAGTTACCCTTAGAAGCCAGGCGATTGTGGGGGCAATTCCTGAGCCCTCTTCCTATTGACCCTGCCTTGGTCTGAGACTCCTGGCCAAAGCTTTCATTACTGTTCATTGGCCCTTTTTCATTTCTTTGTTTTTTTTCTAATGTTTTATTATGGAACATTTCAAACATAGGCAAAAGTAGTCAGAATAATATAATAAATTTCCATGTACTCAGCTCCTACCAACAAATGTTGGTTCCTGAGTTGTTTTTTTTTAATTGTTGTTGTTGTTGTTGTTAACAGATGTTTATCCTTTTTTACCCTGTTGGCACCCCTCTCCCCATTCCCCCTGCCCCGTCCCCAGCTTTGTTGTCCATGACCATTGGTTAGGCATACATGCATATAAGTTCTGTGGTTTATCTCTTCCCACCCCCCACCCCCTCTGCTGAGGGATGTCAGTCTGTGCCCTACTTCCATGTTTCTGGGTCTACTGTATTCCTCAGACTGTTATGTTCATTATATTCTGTACATCAGTGAGATAATGTGGTATTTGTCT